ATACAAAAGGCCACACTATCTTGGTTTGCATACTTTACATCTAATTAATAATTTCAGATTTTTAACATACTTCAAGTACTGATTTTACTCCTTCAAGCAAAACTGTCTTTAGCAATTAAATTAATTCCGTAAGTGAAAGAGAGATACAATAAAATAAAATGATAAAAAGTGAAAAATCCTCACCTGCGAAGATTCCAAAATTACACGCTGTCTATCGCACATTGGGCTAATCTGTTGCTTAAGCTTTTTCTCCAAGTCACCTTGTTTGAAGAATTCAAGCATAATTCTTCGAGTCCACTCAAGGTATAGCTTAAGTGGCTTGGTCGGCGAATTAATATCAGCGCATGGCAGAAGGCTCGTCAAAAACTTTTGAAGTTTGGATAATTCAGTAGGTGAATTAAGACATATAAAGAAGTATGAATTAACAAGAAATATGATTTTCTTCCAATAACTTGTGAAAAAAAGAATTGCGCCGATGCAATTCGGAATCACTTTCTCTGTTTAATCCTAGTTTACATTTAATTCGGCAGATGTGTAGTATTTATTTTCTAACTTTTCCTATTCAACTACTAACCATATATTTTTAAAGTGAAGGAAGGCCCCCTTAAAGATTGTCCATGAAGCCTTTAGATCAAAAGCGAGACTCCGTTATCAAATCACCAGTGACATCTGTACTAGAAATTTAAGTTAGATAATACTCAATATATGCTCATGCTAGCTTTAAGGTCAAAATTAGGGTAAAAGGAGTGAGATCAATGACTATATAAATTAATGAAAATACCAAATGCAAGCCAACTATCCTCTAGGCAAATGATGAAAACATGCGGACACCATTTGATCGACTTATTCCTATTTGCGAAAAAAGGAAATGCTAGGAAAGCAAGAATTATGTGTCTCAAAGAAGTCGACAACTATACTGTCCTTGTCAAATACGTAGTGGCGATTTCGCTAAACAGCTAACAGAAAGAATCTCTTATATAACGAATGAATATATATTCCAGGGGAGAACTCAAATAAAAATTCATTGCAGATTATCCGCAAGTGTGGTCACAATTATGTGGTATGAAACAAAAGAAGACTTGCTGTCTGAATGGGAAAATAAATAAATAACTGCTTATAACTGGGAGTAAGAGATTGATTTGGGGCCATATAACAAAAGGTCTTTGTGAATGTGACTACCGATATTAAATTTAGGATACTTTTGGAATCACATGAAAACCAAGCCCGACGTAATCCTAGTATTTGGTGAATCGAGATTTTTACTAACCTAAAGATTGAATTCCT